GTCCTTTTTCCTGCTTTATCTTACTAGCTAACTGTTCTTTTTCCTGCTTTATCTTACTAGCTAACTGTCCCTTTTCCTGTTTTATCTTAATAGCTAACTGTCCCGTTTCCTGCTTTAAATTACTAGCTAACTTTCCCGTTTCCTGCTTTAAATTACTAGCTAACTGTCCCGTTTCCTGCTTTACATTACTTGCTAACTTTCCCGTTTCCTGCTTTACATCACTAGCTAACTTTCCCGTTTCCTGCTTTATCTTACTAGCTAACTGCTCTATTTCCTGTTTTATATTACTAACTAACTGTCCCGTTTCCTGTTTTATCTTACTAGCTAACTAACTGTCCTGTTTCCTGCTTTATCTTACCAGCTAACTGTCCCTTTTACTGTTTCATCTTACTAGCTAACTGCCCTATTTCCTGTTTTATCTTACTACTAACTGTCCCGTTTCCTGTTTTATCTTACTAGCTAACAGTCCTGTTTCCAGCAAGCTCGAATAATTTTGTGTAACGTTCCAGATTGGCCCTAGAACTGGGGCAATAGATTAATTGATAACAGACCTATGATACAAGTTGATGTGACAAAAATAATTATTATGACAAATTATCGCAAAGTTTGTTTTAAATCAATTAGTTAAATTCAGCATTTATGCGAAAACCATAAAACATTATTAATAATTTAAATGTTGCATTCAAGACATATTCAGACCAACAGAACTGGATCTTTGGTAGTAACACTGTTGTATGAAATACATAAAAAAAACAACAAGTGTACAGTGGATGTGCATGAGTGCGCGCGCCAAGAACCACAGCCACTGACCTCCCTGAGCCTCGAGTGCAGCAAGACTTCCGTTCATCATCCTAGTTCTCACAGTCGTCAAAATGCTCCACGAAAAATTTCTCATCGTTTTTCTGCAACAGATGCACCTCTGTGAGAAACGATGTGACCTTTTTAAACGGCGGATTATGTGGGGACGTGACGAAGCAAGTGAGCAAAATAAGGTACAATAATCACAACTTTATCGTAGCTCATTATGATCATGTTTATACTTATTAGGATGTGTTTAAAGCGTTCACGAATTTATCTGCTGTCTCATCTTCTCTGTAACGCTAATTCATCAACTATTTCAGCATCCTCTTATGCACATTAATTCAACATCACGAAGGATGCCGATATTAATATTAATACGTATTCCCTGTAACTACTGCCTTCTGGGTAATAATAATAACGTGTTGACGTTAACTCCGCTGTGGTCGACATCCTGCAATAAAAATTTTTTAAACGACAAAATTTGCGGCCAGAACTGACAACTAAGGAAATTCAAGTTAGCTAACACACGATACAGGAAGCTAATCGCAATAATATGATTTGAAAAAAAAAAGAGAAAATTGTGTGTCTATCTTTTGTAGTTTTAGTTCAGTTGCTGAACTGCCTGGTTGGCACAGGTGTCGGGTTCGATCCCAGGAAATGCCAGTTGGATTGCAATAGAACAAAATAACTATTTAATGAGGATACAATAACGGTCGAACATACAGTGCATTGGCAACTTCTATCAAAATTTTACAATGTATCTGTTAATTCATGATTTATGAAAATCCAATAAATGATGATATAGTAGGCAGGGGCGTGGATTGCGATCGCACC